GATCAAGAGCGTAATTTCTGACCTCTGGGAAGTTTTACAATACAATGTTGGCTTTACAAAACAACCATTCGTTCAGTTAAGCGCATACCAGTTAGTTCTCACAGTTTTGTGGAAACTCGTCAGAAAAACAGGAATCAATGATTACATTCCATGTTTTTAACAAGAACAACATTTAATTTATAAATAGAAGACAAAAGAAACATTGAAAGGTACTGTCCGATTCACAGACGTACCTTTTGAACCTTTACATCTGGTTAATATTGTGAAATATATCGTCGTTTTTTTACTTGAAAACTGTCACTTCTTTAGAGTATCTCCCATTGACAATAATTGGATTTCAATAACAGAAACATGGATCACTAATGAACTAAGGATCAGACAAAGCTTTAAAAGGAACTGTTGTGGATCGGACATAGAATTCTATAAATAGAGGATCATTTAATCATTTTACAGTCTCTTTAATAAGATTCCAACTCTTTGGATATAACAAGGCTGAAATTCTGTAATAGATTGATTAATGATATACAAATTCTTATTCTTAATTGAGTATTTTAAAGAAACTAATCTCAGTTGTTTTAAGCATGGAATGTTTTATTCAATGGCACCTAGAAAAGTCGGCATTATTATTTTGCTAAAAATTAAAAGGTTTTGTATTTTTATTCTAGACGGAGAATACAGAAGACAATTCTGCTGGAACTCCTGCACAGAACAAATATCTGATAGCACTCTCTCAATTCCAGGTAAACTGTGATACCTTTGATACTCTCTCTATTCTAGATAAACCTAGATACCTTGGATACCCTCTCAATTCCAGGTAAACCTAGATACCTTGGATACCCTCTCAATTCTAGATAATCCTAGAGACTTTTGATACTTTCTCAATTCCAGGTAAACCTTGATACCTTTGATACCCTCTCAATTCTAGATAATCCTAGATAACTTGGATACTATCTCAATTCAAGGTAATCCTGTATACTTGGATGCTATCTCAATTCTAGATAAACCTAGATACCTTGGGTGCCCTCTCAACTCCAGGTAAACCTAGATACCTTGGATACTCTTAATTCCAGGTAAACCTAGATACCTTGAAAACTCTCTTAATTCTAGGTAATCCTATATATACCCTGGATACTCTCTAAATTCCAGGTAATCTCAGATACCTTGAATACTCTCTCAATTCTAGGTAAATCTTAATACATTGAATCTTGAATACGCTCTCAATTCAGGATTAAGATTCTTGGAAAACTAGGAGTCCCTGATTCTACGAAGAGGTCCCTAGCCTTTGATGAAGCAGGCAAAGCACGCATAGACAGTAAAATATAAAGTATTTTGAAACCGTTCTCTTGTTGTTTTTGTCGACCCCACACCTTCTGATAAACAAGCTACCTATTGTGATTATCCTATTCTAGATAAGGTTAGGGGGTGCGGAGGATTTAACAAGAAAAACCATATTTGTTGTTTTAGGACGGTTTAATACCGTCAGTTGTTGATGGATTGGAGCCTGATCATATTTCCAGCCATGAATCTATAGTTGACAATACATTGGATTCCATTCACATTAACCTATTACAGGTAAGGGTAAAAGGAATTGAGTCTAGGACACAAATTTTTCAGTCACGGTCCTGTAATTTTACAACCTGATCGTGAAAACCTTTCATATTTCAAACTTTGATTATTTGATCTAACAGAATTCATAGTTTGAAATATCTAAGATCTACGACGTTGGGTTGCAAAGATATTATAGAATTCGAATTTTTGACAACAAACTAGTGACATTTGCTTTACAACTTTTATTGCTAAATTTTTTAACAACCTCATCAGTATTGGGCATGTTTATAAGGTTTTGCATTTGTTTTGCATCTTGCATTTTGAATTTTGCATTATGCATTTTGCATTATTTTTGTTTTGTTTTGCAGAAATATATTATTAAAACTACGCATTTCTCTTTTTTACATGAACATTATTCCTGATATTTCTGTTTTTGTATCGTGAGATTTAAGATCAATGATACCCCAAATAACTAAACAATCCCTAAAATGAAAATCCGTCCTGCCATAAATTGTTTGGAAAATGAAAATGAAATCATCTTATAAATATTTTATATTTGAAGGCCGGATTACAGATTCAGAAAAGCTACATGAAATCAAACTCTAACTGGAATGACAACAGCCAGTTGAATCAGGAATTTTAGAATAATATTTTTGTTAAATTCCCCCTCCCCCTTCCTAGCTCCTTAAAAATTATATTCCCCCAATGTTCGCAATTTTCACAATTAAAGTTTTTGGTAAAAATTAATTTTCTATTTATTCATGATATTCATTGATTTTATGATTACACTCTCTCTAACCCAACATATCACTCCAGGTTTTAAACAAATGTCATTTTTGCCATAATAAATTTCTTTGTAAACCACAACATCTTCAGATAGCTAATGAATATCTCTTTTAGAAGTGAATCAAGCAACTATTAGCTTTGTTGTTTTACGTAAGTTTGTGGTAGGCCACATAATGATTTAAAATCGCACCTTTTATTTAATTAAAGAGATTTAGCAATGAATCTGCTATGACTAGTCCATCTGGGTAAATCTACTTCCTACGACAAAAAGTCCGTTTTATTTGTGAATACACTTTGACGGCAAGAAGCGTCCACCTTTATTTTATTAAATGATGGGTTGTCTGCTAATAATAATAAAAATAATTCTAAATGAAATGAAGGCACTGAGTTCTGCAAATACTGATATCTCTAAGATCTTGAAGATGGTCGATATTACAGGTATATCAAGGAATTTACACCAGGAACCTATGAATCTGATGCATCATATCCTTCATTGTCAATTCCAATGCATCATATCCGCCAATTCCGATGCAGTATATCTGCAAAACATATCCGCCAATTCCGATGCATCATAACCGAAAAATCTGATGATCATGTACGGATGAAAATTCAGATTCGTAAAATCTGTTGAGTCCGATACATTACATTCGCCAAATCCGATGCACCTAATCTGCCAAGTCCTATAGACAACTTCACCCCCATCGAATACGCTACTGAATAATAAATGTCAATATTTTTGTCAGTCAACACCTTTTAATTTTATCCATAAATGTAACTGGGTCATGTGAGTTGCCGCAAAAACATTGGGCCCAAATGGTTCAGTCGTTTTGATATTATTTTGATGCAAACAAACAGACAACCAGATCTATCTTCTATATAAAAAAGCTCTTAGCTCATGTATATTGTATATTTTTTATTTGATGCCCAATAGGCTTGACAAAATTGGATGAACATTTCTGAGGGAAACCAAGGGAGTAACATAGGCTAAACAAATTGTTAAGGTGCAGAGCAAAGTACTGTTTTGGTGTACAACGCAATCTGGCAAGAAATCAACTGTATTAAGAACAAGGGAACATCACAGGTAAAACATATTTAGAAACTTATATCTTTTAATTCAGATAGTTTGCTTACCATCCGGATCCGAGGGGCAAAATATCAACCAATAACACAAAAAAATTGTGCTCTCAAAACTCAAATCCGAACTGTTGAAAAAAGCTGTTCTTAGGATCCGGATCCGCAAAATTTTGGCTTCCTTGATCCGAATCCGCAAAAATATCAACCAAAATAAACTGTTGAAAAAAGAGAGGTTTAAAAAGTTCCTGATCTATGAAAGTTTAATTAAGTTTATCATAAAATAAGCGAAAACAAATTTAGTAAATTATAAAGAAATATTTATGACCTGGATACGGATCCATTTTTTCCAGTGCGGATCCAAAAATATCAAAATTACATGGATCTTAAGCACAGCTAGGAAAATATCAGCAGTATAGCAGTAATAGTATATGTGAATTGTTTTTTAATAAATAAAAAATTTGTTAAAATATGTTTTTCTATGTCGGCTAAGTCCATTGTTCGAATTTATTCCAAATATAAAGATAGGGGTAAAAAATTTCAAGAATTAAGTCTTTTGATGATTTATACCCTAAAAGTTATTTATTTTTAGCCTTTTCCTAGACTGTATTCTTAAACACCTAAAATACATTTTTTTTTTTTGGGGGGGGGGGTCTTAATAAAGGATTCTTTTTCAGAAAACATTTTGGTCATTTTCCTCTAGGTCAGATCAGCGAATTTATCGTCATTTTTGCCTGGTTGAGTTCATAAATTTCTTTTCTTTATCATGTTTGGTAATTTCCTTAAATATTTTCCAGATAAACCTTGTGAGTGGGATGACCGGAAGGTCCAACAGGTCCTCGATCCTTCTCTTACTAAAACGTTGGCTGGAGTTTCTCGCCAGATACAGGAAAAATCCTCAGGATATAGAAGGCAAGCATATTTCTATTCCATCCTGTAGAGTAGCTGTTCTCCGTGGTATCGCTGCCAATACGTATTAGTGGCAGCAATAACCTGTCCTAGTCTAGATTTGAAACATTAGATCGTTGAACTTATGGTACATAATGTATTGAAACATGAAAGGCAATCCCTTAAACTTTTGGGAAAAAGTAGGGAATTGTAAGGATATGAGATTAGGCGAGGAAAGTAGAGATGGTAGGAGAAGGTAGGCTCAGGTAGGAGAGAGGGTAGGAGAAGGTAGGCTCAGGTAGGTTCAGGTAGGTTCAGGTAGGAGAGAGGGTAGGAGAAGGTAGGCCCAGGTAGGAGAGAGGGTAGGAGATGGTAGGCTCAGGTAGGAGAAGGTAGGAGAGAGGGTAGGAAAAGGGAGGCTGAGGTAGGAGAGAGGGTAAGGAGCAGTATTCTCAATTCCTAAAGATTTGAGAATATATTTAGGTAAGCGTTAGATTATCTACAAAACATTTCTCTACGGAAAATGAGATTTGTTTGTCCCAGGGACATACTTTTTCTAATCTTGCAATTTTGTATTTTGCAAGCCTTCTTTTCATCATTTTGCTACAAGAGAAAATAATCTATAATAATTATTAATAATCTAGATGAACTAGTCCAACTGAATCTAGAGATATGCAAGGCTGCTAGACGAGAAAATAATCTATAATAATTATTAATAATCTAGATGAACTAGTCCAACTGAATCTAGAGATATGCAAGGCTGCTAGACGAGAAAATAATCTTCATCTCTCATCTAGACATCTTTTGCAGGTCAGAGCAAATAGATTATTAAAGACAGCGATATGATTTTTTGAAGCAATTTTTATAACGTCATTGGTGTCAAATTATTATTATTATTCAAAGCCACCGATTTTACTTAATTATTTATTTTGATCATAGAGCTGAAGATTGATAGGTTTTTAATCTGTTAAGGAATCCTCATTGTTTAGCTATCTTGATATTTGATCTTTTTTTTTTAAACGTTTAACACAATTGTCCATGCCTCTTTGTTAATTTTATAAAAAAAAACTTTCTAAACAATTGATTATTGACATGTTCATTGTGCAACCAGGAAGAGGAGGGGGGGGGGGGGGGAGAACCCAGTTTCTCTTTTTTTTTAAATTTTTTGTATTTAGTCATTCTCTGCCCAGTGTTCTAGTTTAGCCGAGTACGTGAAAACCTTTGATATTGATATTTTCTCAGCACAGGTATTTTTAGTTTATAGGTGAATTAGGGAAAATTATGTTTTTTTAGGGGAAATCAACGTATTAGTAAAAATATTATCAAGATTGAAAAAATTGCCTTTAAATGTCCAGTTTTTTATTTTATTCTCTCATATCATCAAAATGCTGAAACATATACATCCCTGCATAAAACTGTGGAATATGAAGGCGACTGCTAGTTATGTTTTGAAAATGCAGAAAATATACATCCCTGTATAGAACTGTGGAATATGAAGGCGACTGCTAGTTATGTTTGAAAATGCTGAAACATATACATCCCTATATACAACTGTGGAATATGAAGACGACTGCTAGTTATGTTTTGAAAATGCTGAAAAATATACATCCCTGCATAAAACTGTGGAATATGAAGTCGACTGCTAGTTATGTTTTGAAAAATATACATCCCTGTATAAACTGTGGAATATGAAGGACTGCTAGTTATGTTTTGAAAATGCTGAAAAATATACATCCCTGCATAAAACTGTGGAATATGAAGGCGACTGCTAGTTATGTTTTGAAAATGCTGAAACATATACATCCCTATATACAACTATGGAATATGAAGACGACTTCTAGTTATTTTTTGAAAATGCTGAAACATTCAGTGAACCCCTTAATAAAGAATACATCGGAAGAATTTATCAAATGTCGTCTTGACAATTTTTCAATGAGTTTTATACTATATTACGTACATTTCAGTATTTGCGAAAATAAATAAATATCCATGAATTTGCGGGAACAGTTTTAAAGAGTGTCATATAATCATTTAATTAAAAAACTAAATATCTGCAACATTCCATTATCAGAAAGTGAAGAATACGACATTTGATGAATTCTTTCGATGTATCCGTTATTACGGGTTTCACTGTATACATCCCTATATACAACTATGGAATATGAAGACGACTGCTAGTTATGTTTTGAAAATGCTGAAACATATACATCCCTATATACAACTATGGAATATGAAGACGACTGCTAGTTATGTTTTGAAAATGCTGAAACATATACATCCCTATATACAACTGTGGAATATGAAGGCGACTGCTAGTTATGTTTGAAAATGCTGAAACATATACATCCCTATATACAACTGTGGAATATGAAAGCGACTGTTAGTTATGTTTTGAAAATGTCAAATGAACATGAAACACATCAATTGTGCAGTACATAAAGGCTCATTTCACGTAATAAGTGGATTTTGAAACTACTGGTCAAAACTAATTGCTTTTTATCAACATAAGATACACGCACGATTACTAAAATGTCGTTATCCCTTGCCACACTTGTATTGGTCACACTTTACTTTTACATAATTCTATGTAGGCTTAATGTATAGATGCATATTCAGTTTAAATACAGCTTCATGTTTAGATTTTGTGCATTTATTTCATATACACTAGTACACTGTACAGCCTTAAGCACAACCTTATGCACTACTCAAATTAGGGGTTTTTGAAACATTTTTCAAGAACCATACTTGTAAAAGTAGGTTGACGAATGAGCGTCACAAATTATTTTAAAGATCATAGACGATTTTCAATTCATCTCTGAACTATCATGAGTTGTCATGACTGAGACCCTTACTCGGACGGCGGTCTGGGGATCTCCCTTGGGGATCTTTCATGATCACTTTCTAATACTAATACTTATCTGATGCTAATAAATTCCCGTTGTAGTTGACTTGGCAGAATGCTGCAATTCTCCGTCAGGCGTGTAAAACATTACTAGCCTCGGATACAAACTCATCAGAAATAGCTGTCTCGGCCATATCAGGTACAAGGGGCAATATACGGTACAAGGTGTAATATCCGGTTCAAGGGGCAATATCAGGTACAAGGGGCAATATAAGGTACAGGGGGCAATATCCAGTACAAGGGGCAATATCCGGTATAATTGCAATATCCGGTACAAGGGGAAATATCCGATACAAGGGGCAATAACAGGTATAAGGGGGGGGGGTAATATCCGGTACAAGGGCAATATCCGGTACAAGGGCAATATCCGATGCAAGGGGCAATTTCCAGTATAAAGGGCAATATTCGGTACAAGGGGCAATATCCGATATAAGGGCAATATCCGGTACAAGTGGCAATACCCGGTAAAAGGGTAATATCCAGTACAAGGGCAATATCCAGTACAAGGGCACTATCCAGTACAAGGGCAATATCCAGTACAAGGAAAAAATTAGGTGCTAGGGGCAATGTCCGGATACAAGGACAATATCCGGTAAAAGGGGCAATATCCGGTACAAGGGTCTTAAAAAATTGTGTGGATCACTGTGACACGACATGTAACTCTGATATGTCCAGTTTCTTAGTCGTGTTACCATAGGTTACGCTGTACAATTGTAGTGTAGAATGATAGATATATACACCTTTGGTAGCGCGACTAAGAAATTGGACAATATTTTGTTTCAAAATTTGTTTCTGTTAAAACATGAATATAACGTATACTAGGAGTGGCGCTTTCAGCTTGTCAAGTGATGTTAACGCTTCGATATGATGAATCGATGGGTCAACTTCTTCAGGAGTCTAGTAGAGCACTTTTAAACCTTACCTCGGCGCTGCAAGCGGTAAGATTCTACAGGTTTAACTTGATTAAAGGGACTGTTGGCGTAGTTTTGTTTTTTAAGGGACTGTTGGCGTAGTTTTGTTTTGAAGGGACTGTTGACGTAGTTTTGTTTTAAATGGACTGTTGACGTAGTTTTGATTTAAAGGGACTGTTGACATAGTTTTGTGTTAAAGGGACTGTTGACGTAGTTTATATTAAAGGGACTGTTGACGTAGTTTTGTTTTAAAGGGACTGTTGGCGTAGTTTTGTTTTTAAGCGTTACATATCCGATTCACTAGGGGACTCTTTAGTTCTTTATTGGTTTATTAACAATAATTATGAAGATATCGCCGTTTTTCTGTCTATGTGAATCCGCAAGTCACTGATAAAGAGAACTGCGATCGAATGTAATAAACTTTGAAATGGAAAAACGGAAATATCTCCATCAATTTTTATTAGAAAAAGGTTTAAATGGTACTATTTTGAATCAGACATAACGCTCTACAAAATTGAGTTCCTGAAAATTACAACCATAGTCCCTATAACGGTTAAAATTGGTCATAATATAATATATATAAAACATTTTTTAGCACATTTTCATCGTATAGTTTAGCGCTTAAAATAAAAAATAAACATTTTACACTGTGACCATAACGAGGTTCATTATGCCTCATTTATAGGAAAATTGTCAACTGAATTGAACAAACTTTGGAAAACTTAATTTTTTATCTAATTCCTCAAATAAAAAAATTATATTGATTGTTTTAGGACTCGACTCTGTTTGAAAAGGTTTATCCCGATCCTAAGAGTGTAAAACTAGATGCAGCCACCATAACTCAGGAAATTTGTCCGGAAGATCATGATTTTTTTATAAATTCTTAACATAAATTCAATTATAAGTCTGAGTCTTTACAAATACAAGTAAAAAAGTTTCAGATCGTCATTAACGTCTTAAAATCCAAGTGAACTCTTAGTTAGTAGAAGACATCATGTAGAAAGACTGATCTACCAGAATTCACTTATTTCGCTGTATAATGATATAATAAAACTTATATATATTTATATTTATAAAGCTGGCCAAAGCGGCTGGACCAAATTGGCTGACATTTTTCGAGGAACTCGAGAAGGAAATAGTTTTTTATTTTTAATTTTTATAAATTCAGTGTTTCTATTAATTCTACGGGCAACGCCGGGAACTTCAGCTAGAAGCTAGTAGCTAGTATCTAAAATGAAAGAATATAAATAAATATATCTACTTCATACTTGATTAATGAAACAGCAGATTGACAAATTAATAACCAGGTGCTTCAAATGGAATCAATTATTCCCCCAAACAGAGAAACACTTCAAAAAACCATTCCTTTGGCAGAGGTAAAGTTAACTAACTTTTTATAGTTGCTCAATCGTTCAGCATTTTCTCTTCGATAAAACAAAAATAAAAATTTTGCGAATTCACAATTTTTTTTCGTGGATTTTAAAAATTTTACGTAAATTAAAAATTTTTGGAGACATAAGAGAATATGGACAAGTAAATTTAGTGAATACTCTGTGTTTCATATTAATTGATTTCCAAAAACATTAAAATCGTATATTTTCGGAGGAAAAATTTTAGAATTTTATCCTAATTTATGTTTCTAGGTTGCTAGCGAGAATGATTTGGTTATTGGCAGATTACTTCGTTTATCTGTTCTTCAGGATCCATCACTCTCGAAAGTATTTTTTTAAAATTTTTAAAATTTATAAGATTATATTAAATTGTTTAAACGTGCTCCAGATTTGATATCAAATTTTTCTATCAGCGGCTTAAAACTTTTAGTTTATTTTTATTTCTGGATTTCATTTTCCAAAAATTATTACATCAGAAGAGGTAGGAATTTATTAAAACTAAGATATGAAGATGTTACTTTGCAATGCATAGTTGTATACTACTTCTCTATTTGATTCGCTGGCAATAAGGCATTTTTTACCGGATAAACAATTGCTTCCGTCTCGAGAGTTAGCATCAAACGTTTCAATAAATCCATAGCAATAACAACTTTAAGTGACTGCTAACGTTATTTCAAGTAATCCTCCTCAATCAACGAGCATTATTCACAACACTCTTTCTTTTTCAAGGGTTGGAACAAGCTGGCTGACTGGGCGTATCAGATGGGTCAGCAGGTTGTAGAAAACGCTGCTAAAAGTAATAACAAGGTAGGAATTTAAAACACTTTTTCGCAAATGCTTAAGCTTTTAAGTTTTCTTCATTTGGATGATGAATGATGATACATCTAGATTTAGAATTAAGTGTCAAGGCAGGGGTTATAATTTAAAATATACCCCCCCCCCCCCCGTTTTCCAGAGGGAAGGAAAAAGTTTAGATAAAGAGTAAATTTTTCATTTTTTTGATACTTTTCCCCAAATAATTATTATTTTCCCAATTCCGAGAAAAACCCCCTAAATGATTTTGGCAACGAAATGGGGAAATGGTTTTATATCTTTTATTCATCAATTAAATGGATAAGAAAAGTTTTTCTTTGCTTTTAAGTTTATTTAAGTGTTGGTGCCAAGGTAACTTTGTTCTTAAAAATCCGCAAAAATATGTAAATCCACCTTTTCCGAATTCAAGACTAAAAATCAAGAAGTTTTAATTAAAACCGGATCTGGATTGGCATCATGAATGTTCGAATAATTGGATCTATTTCTCCTCTCGGAAAAATCTGGAGTTGAACATTTAAAGACAAAAAGATTCACTTCGTCCCCACCAAAGTTTTCAAAGCTTTTTCTTCGATTGGGGTGATGTGGTTGAGGGGTAATTTGTATTAATTTGATAGGATTTCATTTCATTTATTCTGGTTGATGTCGATCAATTTAGTTAAGCGCTATCCCAACCTAAATCTTTGGCCTCAGGTTTATCATACGTTGAGAAATTAATATGTTTAAATTGAGTAAAAATGTATTTTCATTTGTCCAGGTACCATTGACACCTGAGGAGTTGGAAACCCTGGACAAATTAATACCAAATATAGCGGAGAGCAGTAAAAAGAAAATTATCAATATCATCAGTCAAGTCAAGCTAAAGGACTCTCATTTAGGTCAGTACAGTACAGTACAGTACAGTACAGTACAGTACAGTACAGTACAGTACAGTACAGTACAGTATCAGTACTGAGCAGTACAGTACTGAGCAGTACAGTACTGAGCAGTACAGTATTGAGCAGTACAGTACTGATCAGTACAGTACTGAGCAGTGCAGTACTGAGCAGTACAGTACTGAGCAGTACAGTAAAATGCAGTACAGTAAAGTGCAGTACAGTACTATGCAGGGAAGAACAATGCAATGCAGTACAAAACAGTACGATACCGAACAGTTCCATACGGTACAGTTCCGTACAGTACAGTACCGTACAATACAGAGCAGGACAGTACAGTACTGTACAGTACAGTAGAAAATAAAACATTATAAATGTTTTGATTTCAGCTGGATATGAGTATGAGAAGTGGGATTTTATGAGGCGGGATCTACGTGAGGTGAATGCTCTGATGAGTGTGGATGATGATATATTCCAGGGAATTATTGGACTCTGGATATCCGTCTTCAGGAGAACATATGCTCTGTACGATCTAGCGGGAGAAGCATATTTCAAGGTTAAGCATTTTTTAAGGGGGACTAGTGTGTGTCTTTATATCTAGGTACATTACCCCTTTCCCTTTTTTATTTTGAAGATACTTTACTGCATGAGTGTAGACTGTAGGCTGTAGACTGTAGACTGTAGACTGTAGACTGTAGACTGTAGACTGTAGACTGTAGACTGTAGACTGTAGACTGTAGACTGCAGACTGCAGACTGCAGACTGTAGACTGCAGACTGCAGACTCTAGACTCTAGACTCTAGACTGACAAGTGTAAACCCAATTTTAACTGATCTTCTTATTGCATGAGGGACTTGTTCGATTCACAGTGGTGTCATTAAACCTTTCTCTAAGTAGCAATGCTAAAGATATTAATTATATATTTTGTTTAGTATTTGAGTTTATGTGGAGAAACTCCGGCTTCTGGGACAATTTCAGCCAGCTTGAGACTTCTTCATCTTACAGTTAATCATACAATGGAACTCCAGGATATACAGCTTGGTCTTAGGTTAGTTACTCCAGGATATACAGCTAGGTCTTAGGTTAGTTACTCCAGGATATACAGCTAGGTCTTAGCTTTGTTACTCCAGGATATACAGCTAGGTCTTAGGTTAGTCACTCCAGGATATACAGCTAGGTCTTAGCTTAGTTACTCCAGGATATACAGCTAGGTCTTAGGTTAGTCACTCCAGGATATACAGCTAGGTCTAAGGTTAGTTACNCTCAGTTCAGAGTTTAATAATTTTTTAATTGAATTTGATTATTGAAAATGAAAATAAAAATTCTTAAAATTATTCTCGGTTTCTGATTCCCTCTTTAAAGATACGTTAGTTACTTCAGTTATTAACTATAACAAATCCATATTAAACAACTTTTACACTCAAGTTTTAAATTGTTCAATGAACATATATAGCAGCTATTGTGCTGTGTACTGTATACAGACCCATATCACTCTTAAAAGTTAATTTTTAAGCTAATGGTGAAACTTTATCTAAAATACACATAACTTTGTTGAATTGTCGTCTTCCCAAACCATAATTTCATACGTCGTATACATCAATACAATGAAATAACTTACGATTTCCATTTTGCCTTTTGCCTTCTAACTTTGAATTTACTTGTAAACTTGTAATTTGTAAAAAAGCTTTTCAAAAATTAAAACTTCAAAAGAAAAGTCGTCTTCATTGTATTAATATCAACTCCGACCAGTGTAGGTTCCATTGAAAAAAATGCTCAACAATAAAAAAGTTTAATCAAAAATAATTAATGTTTCAGCAAGACCCCGAGCACCCAGTGGAAAGCTATTATCCCTCAACTGTTCTCCAGGCTAAATCATCCTGTTCCAGTAGTTAGACAAAGGATATCAGATCTACTCTGCAGAATTAGCGCTAAGTATGTCAAATATTAAGCCTGTATGACATGCTAAGTTTATGTCAATAGGTTTGAAGTAGAAAATATAAACCCCTTGGGCCTGAAATAGAATTCTTAAGAAAGTTTATGCGTTGAAATCATTTAAAATTTTAGTTTTTCACAATCACAATATCCGATTAGGAAACTTTTGAATTTTTTATCTTGAAATTAAAAGAATTACCTTTTTTGCAATATCTTTATATTCCAGGTATCCAGAGCTCATCATATTTCCTGCTGTTGTCGGTAGTTTAACTACTGGAGCTCAAACAAGTGAAACTCTTACTAATATATTTAGTGGAACTCTTCTTAATAAGGTAGAGAGTTATTATTTAGTAGTTTAAATACAAGACCTCAAACAAGTGAAACTCTCACTCTTAATTAGGTAGAGAGTTATTTATTAGCTCTTGAACTACTGGTCACTAATATATTTAGTGGAACTCTTTTTAATAAGGTAGAGAGATATTATTATGCAGTTTAACTTGGTCACTAATATATTCAGTGGAACTCTTCTAAATAAGGTAGAGAGTTATTATTTAGTTTTAACTAGGGGAGCTCTAATTAGTGAAACGCTCACTAATATATTTAGTGGAACTTTTCTTAGTAAGGTAGAGAGTTATTATTTAGTAGTTTAACTAGTGGAGCTCTAACTAGTGAAACTCTCACTAATATATTTAGTGGAACTCTTCTTAATAAGGTAGAGAGTTATTATTTTGTAGTGTAACTAGTGGAGCTCTAACTAGTGAAACTCTCACTCTTGATAAGGTAGAGAGTTATTGTTTAGCTGTTTAACTAGTGGTAACTAATATATTTAGTGGAACTCTTCTTAATAAGGTAGAGAGTTATTATTTAGTATTTTAACTAATGGAGCTTTAATCAGTGAAACTCGCGCTAATATATTTAGTGGAACTCTTCTTAATAAGGTTGAGAGTTATTATTTAGTATTTTAACTAATGGAACTTTAATTAGTGAAACTCTCGCTAATTTATTTAGTGGAACTCTACTTAATAAGGTAGAGAGTTATTATTTAGTAGTTTAACTAGTGGAGGTCTAATTAGTGAAACTCTCACTAATATATTTAGTGGATTTTTTCTTAGTAAAGTAGACAGTTATTATTTAGTAGTTGCATAAAAGCTTAGTTTCAATAGTCCTAATAACTATTATATATTAAAAGTACTTATTCAAAAAATAACAAAAATGAAAATAATGATATTAGTTTTTCCCTGAACTATAAGGAAATTACGGATCCTTTATAAAACACTTTTTTTTGGTAAGCAATCATTTTCATTGAATCCCGCTAATTTTGTGTATACAGGTCTATGTTAAAACCAGCGCTTTACAAAAGAATGTTATTTGCTATTGGCTATAATTCAATTATGAAGGAATTTAGTTTTTTCCCACAAACTCCGATATTCTAATCCTCATATCTTTGTAACCCGATGTCGTATCCCTTTGATTATTTCAAACTTAACACTCTGTAAGATAGAATAGTCTTAGTTTGAAACATCAAAGGTTTACACTATTAGGTTGCAAAAGTTACAAGGATCAGACGATTTGAGTTGCGGCAAAAACTCAATTCCTTTCCATTGATTTAAATATTTCCTGAGTGTAACTTGATTAAACTAACTTATGTTTAAGGAGACTGTTGTAACTACTACTAGTGACCAGGAGACTGAAGGACAGAGTAATGTTCTGATGCTGAGCGCGCATCAGAAGATTGTCGAAGAACTGAAGAAAGTGATGCCAACGGCCGTTGACCAGGTTTCCTCCTTTGTGAGTGAACTGAGGAGGATTACTCTACTCTGGGATGAACTTTGGCTAGGAACCCTAGCTCAGTATAGCGGGGAGGTGCAGAGGAGGATTAACAGGTGCCTTGAAGGGACTGTTATTAACTTTGAACTTTATTATTTTGGGACTGTTATTAACTTTGAACCCTTTAAACATTTAACTGAGAAACAATGAAAAAAATTACCTTTTTTTCTTCTAAAGAGATCAATTTCATATCTTCTTACTGCATCATACATCTGATAGAGACCTCTATCAAACACGCAATTAAAGATTATTAATTTTTAGCTAGAAAAACATATATATCTCCCCTACTTTGCATATTTTTATGAAATTACGTTGTCTGTCCTTTTATAAAACATTTGTAATGCCAAAACTCCCAGAAAGATTTTTTATTTTTGATTGAATTTTTTCTTATGTCAATACCAATGATTAGGATCCCGATCCGGATCCCTTGGATCCACAACATTTTGGCCTTCTGAATCCGGTTTCAAAGGCTAAAGTGTTAACATAGACCTGCTAGTATGTACTAGCTTGGGAACCCAACTTTGTCTAGAAATCTAAACTTTCATATCAACTCGACCCACAAATTTAAGAACTTTTGACCAAGTTAAGAACATTTCCGTGATTCTACTCAGTTCTCCCATTAAGATTTTAGACAGACAGAAGATATTACCACTTATAACCTAAAACCTGTGAACCTCTCGACCAATTATCCTGATATCTTTATTGGGTAACTTGTTAGAATCACGGGAATGATCTCAAATTGGTCTAAAAATTAAAAGTTGTGTAGGCAAAGCTGGGTCCCCAAGCTAGTATATTGATTAATTTAATAATCGAGGATTGTCCTAGGTTTGAGCTGGAAAGTGGCAGACTGGAATCCAGCTCTGGTTTAACTGTTCTAGGTTTGAGCTGGAGAGTGGCAGACTAGAATCCAACTCTAGTTTAACTGTTCTAGGTTTTAGCTGGAGAGTGGCAGATTAGAATCCAATGGCCGAATTTAAAGAATTTGAGCGGCGGTTTAAATTTAAGCCGCGGGTTAAATATGGTTGGTTCCACTTAAAATTGTATCAAATGTTTCAAGATTTAAGCCGGCGCTGAATTTAAACCGGGTTTTGGCGGATTTAAACCGCGGCTCAAATTCTTTAAATTCCATCTCAACTCTAGTCTAACTGTTCTAGGTTTGAGCAGGAGAGTGGCAGACTAGAATCCAACTCTAGTTTAACTGTAGATGATAAACTGAAGCTTGTTAAAGACAAATATAATATCGTCTTCACACCCATCATATACGTTCTAGACCAGGTAGGATTAGAGATTACTTTTTGAGAATACATTTTGGACGACCTTTGCTTAAATGTATTAAAAAGAAATTTGAAAGATCGTTGCTTAGACCAATGGTTTAGTATATTTCAAGGAATTTTATGGGATCGTTGCTCAAATATGTTATAAAGGATGTTGGAAGATCTTTGCTTAAATATGTTTTAAGGGATTTTGACTGATCGATGCTGAAAAGAATTTTGGAAGATCTTTGCTTAAAGGGATTTTGGACGACCTTTATTTAAATAAAAGGATTTTTAATGATCATTGGTTTAGTATAATTAAATGGATTTTAGAAGATCATTGCTTAAATATGTTAAAAAGTATTTTGGAGGATCCGAGGATCATGGCTTAAATATTTTTAAAGAATTTTGGACGAAACGTGCATAAATATATTGAAAAGGATTTTGAACGATCGTGACTTAATTTGACGATCGTGGCTTAAATATTTGACGACCATTGGATTTGTATATTTAGATAGAGTTTTGATGATCATTTCTTTAGTAGTATAATTGGATTTTGGAGGATCAATGGTTTAGTATATCTAAAAAGATTTTAGGGGATCGTTGCTTGAATAAGTTTTAAATGATTTTGGTTTAGTACATTTTAATGGATTTTTGAGGGTCATTGCAATAGTATATTTATAAGGATTTTGGAGGATCATGGATTAAATAGTTTTTAAAGGATTTTGGAGGATCATTGCTTTAGTATGATTATAAGGATTTTGGAGGATCATTGCTTTAGTATGTTTATAAGAATTTTGGAGGATCATTGATTAAATATGATTATAATGATTTTGGTTTACTACATTTAAATGCAAGATATTATTTTGCATTAGTATGTTTTAAAATGGCTTTTGGAGGATCATTGCTTCAGTTAACTGAAATGGACTTTGGAGGATCATTGGTTAAATGTACATTTAAATGGAATTTGGAGGATTATTCCATTCTAGTATTCTAAAATGGATTTTGGAGGATCATTGGTTAAATGTACATTTAAATGGAATTTGGAGGGTCATTGCTTTAGGTAACTTAAATAGACTTTGGATGGTCATTGGTTTAGTATTTAAGGAAGCTTTTAAAGGATTAATGGTTTAGTATATTAAGATGGATATTGGAGGATCTAGAAGGATTTTTGTTTAGTAAGATAATGTCTTGTGAAGCATATTTAGTTAATGAATTTTGGTAAATTGTTCAAGATTTCTGTATATTAAGATAACATTAAGGACATTGGACAAGAGCAGGACTGGGCGTCGTTTCTGGGAGAACGATCGTTTTTTCACGGGAAAGAACAGAATTGGACAAACAAACAATAAAAAAAGTAGAAACACGCCCAGTCCTACCCAGAGTAATTTTGGGTTTTTTGAAATTTTAGGAAGCTTTTTTAAAGGATTAGGAAGTAAAGGGAGAGATGGGGTGGAGGCTTCTGGAAGATCGATATAAAAATTTATTTAATTGAACAGGTTGCTGCTATCACAAAATCTAGCCCCGAGACCCCCCACGAGGAGGAGTTCCAACGGAAGTACGGGACTGGAATAGACACCCTGTTGGAGGGTATCAAGAACCCTGAGGACTGGGGTACACCCTGTAAAGCCTGGAGCTATCTACCCCAGCTCCAGGCTCGGTTAAACAGCAGGGTGAACAAGAAGAGTGCTCTAAAGCTAGCGGAGATATCTCCGTCCCTGTACTCGATGAGGAACACGGAGATAATGATGCCGGGGGACCTGGGAGGGAAGGAGCATAGTGTACAGATTGCAAGGTTCGAGGGTACTATGACAGTTCTACCCACTAAGACGAAACCTAAGAAATTCAGGTATATCCATTTCCATTATATATAATAATTAAATATATATATATATGTATATATAATATATACTTGCTTGAGAACCTAGCGCTACCAAGGTTACTAAAAGTTACTCCCCCGTTTACCCGCACTTGAACGATTTTACCCGAAAACTAAAAGTCGACCCACTCAACTTAGACACCAAGCTAAGAACATTCCCGTGGTTCTCCCGAGTTCCCTCATCTAAATATGAGGCAAATTGGTCCGGGGGTTCCTGATTTATGATCGGACAAACAAACAGACAGACAAACAGATATAACAACTTTATATCTATAGAAACATTACAATAAACTCTACTAGGTTTTTAGAACGCTTCATGCCTCATTTTCTAGAAGCTATTTTATCTTTTAAATGTTTCATTTGCAAGTCACTTTTTTTTTACTTACACACTTTAAAAATTAATTTTTCGCGGATTAAGTACCATTTGTATAAAGCGAAAATTGGTTCAGTTCAGAGTTTATTAATTTTTTAATTGAATTTGATTATTGAAAATGAAAATAAAAATTCTTAAAATTATTCTCGGTTTCTGATTCCCTCTTTAAAGATACTTAATTTTGTGTTTCTTCTTATATCAAAATGTTAATTTTTTTTTTAATTATTAAAAAAGTTGTTTTTTTAGTCTGATAGGAACTGATGGAGGAAGATATACCTATCTATTCAAGGGTTTAGAAGATCTTCACCTAGACGAGAGAATAATGCAGTTTCTAGGTAAACCCGGCGAATATCCTACAAAGCGGGAGTGTCCAGATTGTACAGGGTGTCCCACGAAACATGACAGTAGAAAGACGACATCATTTGTGGCATTCGTTCATCACCCTACTTATACTTTTTACGATTCTTAAAACAAAAATCACAAAGTTCAAAACTGTGGTCTACCTTGTTGTGCTGTCTGTATTACCGAAGATGTTCAGAATTTAGATCAGATTTCAATTAATTAAATGAAACCAACAATTTTAAATTTGAATAAATAACTGCCTGAATATTACTTGAAAACTGCTTGAATAGTACTGACAACTAACTGCCTGAATATTAGTGACAACTGCTTGAATAATACTGAAAACTGCCTGAATATGATTGACAACTGCCTGAATATTTGACAACTGCTTGAATAGTACTAACAACTGCCTGAATATTACTGACAACTGCTTGAATATTACAGACAACTCCCTGAATATTACTGACAACTGCCTGAATATTATTAACAACTGCTTGATTATTACTGACAACTGTTTAAATATTACTGACAACTGCCTGGATATTACTGACAACTGCCTGAATATTTGACAACTGCCTGAATATTATTGACAACTGCTTGAATAATACTGAAAGCTGCCTGAATATGATTGACAACAGCCTGAATATTTGATAACTGCTTGACTAGTAATGACAACTGCCTGAATATTACTGACAACTATTTGAATATTATTAACAACTGCTTAATTATTACTTAAAACTGATTGAATATTACTGAAAACTTCCTGAATATTACTTACAACTGCTTGAATATTATTAACAACTGCTTGATTATTACTGACAACTGTTTGAATATTACTGAGAACTGCCTGAATATTACTGACAACTGTCTGAATATTACTGACAACGGCCTGAATATTACTGACAACTGCCTGAATATTACTGACAACTGCCTGATTGTTACGACAACTGCTTGAATATTACTGGCTGAATATTATTAAAAACTGACTGAATATTACGGAGAACTGCCTGATTGTTAATGACAACTGCCTGTTATAGGTATTGCGAACCAGATGCTGTCTAAGAATAAGCGAGAAAGAGATGTCAAGTACTTTGCTCGGAACTATACTGTTATTCCCTTAGGAAATCAAACTAGATATTTCACTCAAATTTTCAACTGTTTACTGAGAGGAAATATTTACACGTTTTTCAACACGTAATTTCAAATGACTCCATTTTCAGAAGTTCATGTCCGATTCACATCGGTACCTTTAAATACTGTGACCGATCAAGAGCTTAAAACAAATAGATAATATCTTCCACACCATTTGATAAAGTCTGTATGGGTTCTAATGCGAATTTGACATGCTTTTTTTATAATGGTCATTGAATTCCAACCAATTATTTGGAACACAAATTAGAGTTTAGGTTATTATTTTGCTTTGCAACCAACAACTGAAAAAGTGATAGTTGATTCAGCTTTGCAACCAACAAGGTTTAAGATTTAAGCTTAAATAATCCTAGAGAATCATGTTGTGTTGATATATCGAAAATGAGAGTTGACAATTATGGTTCTCCAAATGTGCGTGTACGTACGTTATTCGTCTTATTTGACGGCCATCCATCCTCACAAATTCTCTTTGTTAATTTTAAAAAATCACAAGATTGTTATCTTTGTTTGGATTAGGATCAAGATCTGGACTTATTCAATGGGTGGAAGGAGCTATGCCTATATTTGCACTTTATAAACGCTGGCAACTCAGGAAACATATTCATTTATTCATTTAATTATTGATTTATTAATTTATTGATTCATTGATTCATTGATTCATTAATTCACTTCTTCACTTCTTCGCTAGTTCACTTGTTCACTTGTTCACTTGTTCACTTGTTCACTTGTTCACTTGTTCACTTGTTCACTTGTTCACTTGTTCACTTGTTCACTTGTTCACTTGTTCACTTGTTCACTTGTTCACTCGTTCACTTGTTCACTTGTTCACTTGTTTATCTATTCATTCATTCATCTATTCACTTTTTAATAAAAATTTAAAATGATGTTTGTTGTAACAGGCAACAACAGCATTTAGAGAATGCCAAGAAGCTTGAAGATGCCGCCAAGGTTGTTGGGAAACCAAGTGATATCTTCTATGCTAAAATTCTACCAATCCTGAGGAAGCATGGTGTGTCTAAAATAGAGGTATTGTCTTTGGGATCAATCACGTATATACAAAACAACCAAAAAAATGTATCTATATATTAAAGATCTTGGATATCCCGGGGATAACATTGGCTAAAAAATGGAACTTGTAAGTTTTGAAATTCCACAAGCAACGCCACTCACTTGAGATTAAATCATAATTTAATACCAAGGACAAGTAAACGGCGGAAGTACCTATGACTTTAAGTTAGAATAAATAAACCTGGACAACGCAGAGCACTCCAGCTAGTAATTTATTCACCTTCAAATTGACAATTTATCTGTCTCTATGTGCATTTTTGTAACTCGAAATTTAATTGGGTTTTTATGGAATAATGGCTTTCATAAAGGGGTTATACTACTTTTAAGTAATAAGTAGGTTATATTAGAGTTGAATAATCGATTTTTTTCGCCATATTTTCTTTGAATACTTTAACACACGTCAAGTTAAAGTAAATCGTACATAAGATTGAAATCTAATTTGTCATCAATCATAACTCGTCTTTTAAAAGAGCTAATGAGAAGAACACAAATGTTCTGAATTGTTAAAAAAGAATTAAAACTAGGTGGGCTCTGAGGTCACAAAGTCGGACCATTTACGTCGTGTAAATTTGGTCTTTCAGATGACAGGGTCAGTTTGAAATACGACGACAATTCCTTTAATTTTCTAGGATCGTAAATCCTGGCCGATCTCGTTGCTGAAGCAGGTTCTTCATGAGCTGGTTCAGGAGACTCCTAGAGATCTTCTGGGTAATCAAGTCTGGCTCAGATCTGTCTCAGGTAGACATCTTTTTCCTTTTTTAAAAGGTCGTCTTTGATTTTAATTATTTTCGGCATAATTTTGAAAACCTGTTTTAAAGCATGATTCTTGAAACAATAATTTGAATCGAGAAAACCCCATAGTGCTGGTATTTCCATGACTTGGTCTGTCTTCTCTTGTGCTTTCAAAATATCCAGAGAAATAATTTCAGTCTATTAAATAATACCAAAACTTTCTAGATTTTTCATATTTTAGATAATTTTGAATGCAGTGATAATGAAAACCACATTTTGGACATGCCCGGGTTATATTTGATTCAGATTATTGTTTCAAGAATGTTGTCGAAATATGTTCGCAAATTATTCAAAACTCGAAAATGATCTATACCGTACGTATTCTCTACTCTTGTTATCCTTCTTGTTATCTTTCTTACTATCTATCTTGTCATCTATCTTGCCACCTATCTTGCCATCTATCAAACTATGAATGTTAGATCAAATAATATAAGTTTAATACAGGGTGTACCACATCAATTTAGACCGCGTCAATGGGTCTAAACTACGATTTGGGGGACAAATCAGAAAATTTAGGAAGAATGAATCATTTTGAAAAATTTTAGAAGGCTAAAAAATTTATTTTTGCAGAAAATGCTAGATTTTTCTTGGATTTTGTGCGAATTTTGGCGTTAAAGATTGGAGATAATCTAATTTGATATGGGACGCTCTGTATAAAAAAGGTTTACACTGTCAGGTCGGAATGATTTGAACATTTGAATTTGTGGCATAGACTCAATTCCTTTTTTCCTCTAAACTATTTTTCTTAATATTAGGCGAGCAGTGGTGGAAGATAATTCAGAACCTGGGAAGATCCTTTGCTGTCATGTCAATCATTGGATATATCATTGGTCTTGGAGATAGACATCTAGATAATATTCTAGTTAATCTAGACCAGGCAGGATATTATTCTTATTCAGATATATCTAGATAATATTCTAGTTAATCTAGACCAGGCAGGATATTATTCTTATTCAGATATATCTAGATAATATTCTAGTTAATCTAGACCAGGCAGGATATTTTTCTTGTTCAGATGTATCTAGATAATATTCTAGTTAATCTAGACCAGGCAGGATATTTTTCTTATTCAGATATATCTAGATAATATTCTAGTTTATCTAGATTAGGCAGGATATTATTCTTATTCAAATATATCTAGATAATATTCTAGTTAATCTAGACCAGGCAGGATATTTTTCTTATTCAGATATATCTAGATAATATTCTAGTTTATCTAGACCAGGCAGGATATTATTCTTATTCAGATATATCTATAAAATATACAATATACATACAACATAACTACAGTATGATCAAAATTTGACTTCAGAAATCCACTATTTTTAGTATTTTAAAATCCGCACATTCAGTTTTCTTCTTTTTTTTAATATAGAACAAAGTTATGTAAAAGATATAAATTTGAGTGGAAACAGCTATAAAGAAGAATTAAAGTTCAATGTTCACACTTTTAGACTATTGCTACTGGTCCATAGTCGAGAATCAGAAAGAAAAGGAAACATAAAATATCTTTAATGGGGAGGGGGGGTTAAAATGGAACTAACTTCCTGAACTTGTTTTACACTTTCACAATTAAAATATATTATTAAACTATATCTTACTTATTTTGCTACACTTCTCGTTTGTACAGTGAGAACCAGAAAACTAATTAAAGCAATACTTTAGTGTATTTAATGTTGTTACAAAGGAAATAGTGTCGGTAGTAACTTATCAAGTAAAATGGGTCTGTATTCAGGGCACAGTGTTCACTTTTCAAAGTCATGACTTGATTTTTAAAGTCGTCTTTTCTAATCCAAAGTTTTCTTGTTCTCAATGTATATTATTATATTATGTATTATAAAATATAATAGATGAAAAATAGTCATATTTGCAGGGTTATGTTGTTCACATCGATTACAACATCTGTTTCGAGAAAGGGAAGATATTAAGGATCCCTGAACGTGTCCCTTGCCGCCTCACACAGAACATTGTCTCAGTTCTAGGGGTATCAGGGGTAGAGGGGCTTTTCAGGCTCGGTTGTGAAAGGACCCTCAGGTGATTATTTTAGTGCTTAGGATCCACAACATTTTGGCAAAAATATGCGGCTCCAAGGGGCAAAATAAAACCAAAAACTTTTATTTTACATTTATCACTTTGACAATAAGTGAAGTCACCGAACGTAAATAAATATAACTTGTGGATTTGTAAATAAATAATATATGAATTCATTTAAGATTCTCATATCACCTGTTTTTGTTTATACTGAAGTTAGTTTTAAAAATATATGATATCTTTTAAAAATAATCAAAAACCTATGAAAAACATTTCTGATTATACAATATTTCACTTTGTTTGAAGAAAAGTATGATTTCGCATTTACACGTGTATTTAATTATGATTTATGGCAATCTGAACGATTTATTATTACCTTTTTTGCATGACACTACACAATATAATACATACCTTAATACATGCTGTAGTACCTAAATACATGCTTTAGTACCTTAATACGTGCTGTAGTACCTTAATACATGCTGTAGTACCTTAATACATGCTGTAGTAGCTAAATATATGCTGTAGTACTTTAATACATACTGTAGTACCTTAATACGTGGTGTAGTACGATAATACATGCTGTAGTACCTTAATACATGCTATAGTACCTAAATGCGTGCTATAGTACCTTAATACATGCTGTAGTACCTTAATAAATGCTGTAGAACCTTAATATATATAAGTACGATGACAAGAATAAGAATCAAATCAGATTTGGCTGTATCAACTGTATCCAACTTAAAAGATTTGAAATTCAAAAACAATAAATTGTTAAAAAAAAATATATTTACGAATTGTAGTGTAATGAGAGAAGAAAGGGAGACTCTTTTAACTCTTCTAGAAGCATTTGTTTATGATCCTCTTGTTGACTGGACAACTGGAATTACAGGTATTTAACATTTTTTCAAAATATTTAATTGGTTATTTAAAAAAATTATAAAAACTTCGTTTTTTTGTAATGACACAAATGTATTAAATGATAAATGAAATTAATGATTTTTAAACCGGTGCTAGAAAATGTTGAATGAACTGTATGATATTTTTCACAAAATTAGGGATACCGGGGTAATTTGCCAGAACAATAAAAAATTGTCTCTAAATCTTCAAAAAACACTCTAAACATGAAAAAATCAATATTGAGTGCACCTTGTAATTTCGAATAATCCCGATCTCTCATTGGCTTATTTAAGGAGGGCTTGCTGGAGCTATGTATGGAGGAGGAGGAGCACAGGAGGAGAATGAGAAAAGAGAAATGGAGCATAGTCTGACATTCTCCATGCTTGGAGTCAGGCAAAACTGATCTTATTTTTTCCGGGGAGGTCCATTTACTCTAGTTTTTGGGTGGTGACTATTATAGTTTTACATTATCTAGGCTACCAGTCAAACAATACATTACTAAGGAGAGGGGGGGGCTGTAGTTTTACATTTCCTTAGAGTCAAGTCATACAAAACCTGGAAGGGGGGGGGGGCTTTATGGATATTAACTTTCAATCTCTATTATAAAATTAAAATGTCTGATATCTATACAAGCCCAAGACGCCCACCCATTAGATCAATTTTCTTCATAACAGGGTTATCAATCTTGATTCTTGATAAACAAAGAAATAAAGAGTGTTTAACTAAATAGAGTGACCGAGATGAAAGGAGCTTGGTTAGAGAACAAGCATGATCTTCAAGCTGCCCTGATGCAGGTCAATTTAAAACCTTTATAGTCATCAATCAGCTTTTTTAGATTTTAGGGAGACATAATCTCCTACTTTCAGACGTGTTTATTAGTTCTAGGATTCATATCCGAACAATTTTATCCCCTAGTCACAACCAAAAATCAGTTTTTTTAAAGGGTGGCGCAGGTGGGTGGGGGGGAAGGTGAAAATGAGGGTTGCAACGAAAAATAATACGCCCCTGTCAAAATAGGAAAAGAAAAGAAAAAAATTCAATTGTCGAAGTCCCAATCCACAGAGCTGTAGACAGTTTACATAGATAGGATGAAATTCCCCAAAACCTGTTTTTCACATAGCAATTAAAAACTGTTTCAGGGTTATAATTTGAAAAATTTTTGTCTTGTGTTTTTTGCAGTGTTTAGAACGTTTTTGAACGTTTTTTTAACGTTTTCAAAGCGTTTTAAAATGGAGCGGATTCTGACTTCTGCACATTTCTGAAAAGATTTGGCGCCCGTAATGACATAAAAACTATCCTAAATCTTATTTTAAACAAAATCCTAGGTGGACGAAGGACTTTCATCTTGGCAAGAACTGGTTACCATCTCCCAAAAGAATGGAGAACAGCTGTCAGTCTTGCATACAAACATGTCTACATTAAAGGTAGGATGACAAAAGCCATTGAACATTGTTTTTTACCTTCCTACCTCCAATTTTATTGATAAAACTGGTACTAAAATTCGGCTACGTTTTTAAAAATTGCATAATGTATATTCTCTGAGCTCCAAGATTAAAATAAAGTAATTAAGTCTTAACCACAAACTATTGTGCCACTTGGAACTAGAATTTCATAATATAAACCTAAACTCTGCATTAAGGATGTCTTGCTCTTTTCTTCTAATATCTGAACCCTCCCTTTAATTTAATAAGTACCTGCTCTTTTCTTCTAATATCTGAACACTTCCTTTAATTTAATAAGTACCTGCTCTTTTCTTCTAATATCTGAACACTCCCTTTAATTTAATAAGTACCTGCTCTTTTCTTCTAATATCTGAACACTCCCTTTAATTTAATAAGTACCTGCTCTTTTCTTCTAATATCTGAACACTCCCTTCAATTTTCACATTTTAGGAAGCTGAAGTGAATCCAGGTCACAGACTGTACTCTATTTTAGATACATACAGGTTAAATATTTTAATTAACAAATTAATTTATTAAAATTTAATTAAATTTTTACAATTTAGAAAGAATTTTCAAAAATTACTTTAAAACCGAAGCACTGGGGAAGAGGGAGAATTCTTTTTCTCCATATTTTGGTTATTTTTACCTTAAAAGACTAACTTTCTAATTTTACCTTTAGAAACCATTAAAACATGTTCTTTATTACAGTCAGTCAAGGTATCATGTCCTGTATGTTATGTTAACTTTGTCAAGTTAGAGTTAGATGTGGTTAAATATTAAATATGTTAAGAAAACAGGAAGCTATGGAAGGAGGGGTGGATGTGGCTNGATGTGGTTAAAAATCAACTTCAATCCTTTATCTCCGAGTGTGACAAGATACTGACGTTGTACAACAGGAACCAGAATTATTTTGGATACTTAAGATATAATAATCTAATCTAAGTGAAGTGAAGTGAAACTGAAACCATAAATACTTATTTTGTGTCATTCTTGTTTAAATTTTCCAACTTTTATCTTTCTCAAAAATTGTATTTACTTGGTTGACAAATACAACAAGAACAAATTATATGAAAAATAGAATTATGAAGTTTTCGAATAATAATCTTAAAAATTTTAAATTGCTATGATTTTAACGGTTTTTTATGCTCCTTTATGAAATGTCCTCCAAAATCTGTTTGTGTTAGAGCGACTGCATCTGTAAGTGGACCCCAGCTTTCTAAGGAAATCACTGAAATTCATTAAATTAAACCTATCTGCTAATTTTTTTATTTAAATGTATTTTACATGACGTTAAGCTTATTTAAAAGTATTTCTTCAAGACTATGAATTCAGTTTTTAATTGTATTGTAGTGGGATCAGGAAGCAGGTCGATTGTTAGAACAAAACCAGATTCTGAGCAGTAGAACAGTTTCTACATTCTTAGAGAACGCAGGACAGAGAGAACAGCTTGCACAGGTATATAGTAGAACAGTAGAACAGTTGGTTCTGGTATATAGTAGAACAGTGGGTTCAGGTATATAGTAGAACAATAGAACATTTGGTTCTGGTATATAGTAGAACAGTGGGTTCAGGTATATAGTAGAACAGCAGAACAGTTGGTCGAGGTATAAAGTAGAACAGTGGGTTCTGGTATATAGTAGAACAGTAGAACAGTTGGTCGAGGTATAAAGTAGAACAGTGGGTTCTGGTATATAGTAGAACAGTAGAACAGTTGATCCAGGTATAAAGTAGAACAGTAGAACAGTTGATTCTGGAATAAAGTAGAACAGTTAATTTAGGAATAAAGTTGAACAGTAGAACAGTTGGTCGAGGTATAAAGTGGAAAAGTAGAACAGTTTATTCTGGAATATAGTAGAATAGTAGAACAATTGGTTCAGGCATAAAGTAGAACAGTAGAACAGTTGATTCTGGAATATAGTAGAATAGTAGAACAGTTGATCCAGGTATAAAGTAGAACAGTAGAACAGTAAATTCAGGAATAAAGTAGAACAGTTATTTCTGGAAAATAATAGAACAGTAGAACAATTGGTTCAGGCATAAAGTAGAACAAGAGAACAATTGGTTCAGGTATAAAGTTGCATTGTAAAACCATTGGTTCAGTTAAATAGTAGAATTGTAGAACCCAAATAATGAAATTTATCAAGACTCAAATATTAAAATAATAGTAAGTGTCATTATTATGAAATAATAATAAAATGTCCCACCGAATATACAAATTTTGAATTTTTCTTTTAGAACTTTTAAGTTTAAAAATTTTCCCCATTTTCTCTAAAATAAATATCATCATAATTCAAACAATATGTTGCAGAACATTTCTCATCTTGATTAAACTACAGAATTTTATACAAATGTCTCGCGCTTTTTAAGATAGTTTTTTCAGAAGGTTTTATGCAAGTTGCTTTCTTTATTCTTTTATTTTCTTCTAAGAATTTGCCAGTGACAAGTTTGAAAAGAGCTGAACCTTGATTTCCATAAAGTTATCGTTGACTATATTATTTAGTTTATACGTAAAAGCTTTTTTGTTTGGTAAATAGTCATAAATCGTCCTTAATTGACCTCACTGAATACCCTAATAAAGACCTAACTACAGACCTTATAAAAGACTTTAATAAACAGAAAAACAAAGGCCCAAAAAAACTTGACAAAAGACCTGAACAAAGACTTGAATTAACAGTTGAAAAAGACCTGATTAAAGACCTGAGTAAAGACCTTAACAAAGACAAAATGACTAAACCAAAGATCTGATAAAAGACCAATTTAAAGGGACTGTAAGCGTAATTGTAAGTGAACCTCCATGCAAAGATGAAAATGGCCGATTTACAGCGGTGTACTTAAAAACTTTGTCTGATCAAGTATGAATTTGATATCCATGCTTTTGTTTCTTTAACCTGTTAGTTTTCATTTGAGTGACTTGCGCATTCCTTGCTTCTATGATGCGTTGGAAAGGTTATCAGAATTCGACACTTAAGTCAGAAAAACGACGGTATTTTCAACGTTTCTGAGCAGATTAAGGTTTCAAGGGTACCGTTATAAATTGGGCATCGCCATCTCTGCATGAAGGATCACTTGAAATTACGCTTACAGTCCCTTTATAAACCTTACTTAAGACTTTCCTTGTCTAGTATGTAAGTGTGGAGAAGGATATGAGGATAAGGATGACCGGCCTACTGGACGAGCTAAAGAGGATTCTGGAGGATCTTCATGTATATTCTGCACTAACCAGGTCAACGAACATTTACGCAAATATGCCGTACATTTAACCAGATGCAGCCTAAAGTCAGACCGCGTCAACCTAGTTGCATATTTGCAGCAGCTAGCTCTACCAGTATAGTTGGTGTACTGGCCGGGGCAGTACGAACTGGGACCGTAAAGGCCGGTTTATAAACCAACTAGAAAAAATAAAAATCCCCCCCAAAAAAATAAGAATACCCATTACAATGACATAAATAGGTATTTCATTTTAGCTCCCTTGAATCTGTATATTTTAATCCTTGTGGCAAAATTTAAACCAAACTATCGAGCAAAAAAATCGGAACCAGTTCAAACGTCGGACCCACGAAACGTCGGACGCCACAAACGTCGGACGACACACACGTCGGACTTAAAAACGTCGGACTGGGACAAACGTCGGACTGGTACAAATGTCGGACAAACCAAAAAAGAGTGAGTTCTTGTCACACACACTGATGTCTATATCTTTGCAACCCGATGTCCTATACCTTTGATATTTCAACCTATGCACTCTAGAAGTATAATTAATATGATATAATTAATACCATATGAGAATATTTGAGTTAGTGGCATATCATTATCATTATTATTATCATGATCATTATCATTATTATCATCATGATCATTATCTTGATCATTATCATGATCATCATTATCATGATCATCATTATCATGATCATCATTATCATGATCATCATTATCATGATCATCATTATCATGATCATCATTATCATGATCATCATTATCATGATCATCATTATCATGATCATCATTATCATGATCATCATTATCATGATCATCATTATCATGATCATCATTATCATGATCATCATTATCATGATCATCATTATCATGATCATCATTATCATGATCATCATTATCATGATCATCATTATCATGATCATCATTATCATGATCATCATTATCATGATCATCATTATCATGATCATCATTATCATGATCATCATTATCATGATCATCATTATCATGATCATCATTATCATGATCATCATTATCATGATCATCATTATCATGATCATCATTATCATGATCATCATTATCATGATCATCATTATCATGATCATCATTATCATGATCATCATTATCATGATCATCATTATCATGATCATCATTATCATGATCATCATTATCATGATCATCATTATCATGATCATCATTATCATGATCATCATTATCATGATCATCATTATCATGATCATCATTATCATGATCATCATTATCATGATCATCATTATCATGATCATCATTATCATGATCATCATTATCATGATCATCATTATCATGATCATCATTATCATGATCATCATTATCATGATCATCATTATCATGATCATCATTATCATGATCATCATTATCATGATCATCATTATCATGATCATCATTATCATGATCATCATTATCATGATCATCATTATCATGATCATCATTATCATGATCATCATTATCATGATCATCATTATCATGATCATCATTATCATGATCATCATTATCATGATCATCATTATCATGATCATCATTATCATGATCATCATTATCATGATCATCATTATCATGATCATCATTATCATGATCATCATTATCATGATCATCATTATCATGATCATCATTATCATGATCATCATTATCATGATCATCATTATCATGATCANTCCTTCTCGATGCCTATCCCCCACAGGTATGATGAAGAACCCCTGAGGGATGGACATTGATTAATAGTTTTTAATTCTTGAAGTGTTTCCACATTTTATAAATTTAATGTTAAAGTCAAGTTCCTATTCGACATATTTATGGTTTTGTCTGTATCTAAATACACCTATCCGTGGTTAGGATGTGGCTGGTCCGGAGAGGGTTGAGCAGGTCCGTGTCATGAACCTGGCACTAGAGAAAGAACACCAGGTGAAATTTTCTCACTTCAGATCAGAATTCAGGAAATCAAAACGGAAAAATATCAATTAAAAAACACAAGAATAACTTTATTTTTATGAAGCTTGAGTAAAACTGTCATGATTTCCCATTGTTCAATCCAGTTTTAGCATAGAAGTTAGTAAAAAAAATATTTTTTTATTCACGGCCGATTCAGGCCTTTTAATTAAAAGAAAACCTTAATTTAAGGTTGCATTTTATTTTTTTAAGTGTACATTCAAAAACCAAGACGGGAACCGCCCTATTTGCACAAAAAATGGTGTTGGAGAAAGTTTTATTGTTAAATTAAGCAATTAAATTAAAGTCTTGGAAATTCTTGGAAAATCTTGTACGGTACATTTGTACAGGTAGGTCCAGTTGGAATAATCTTATTGTACAGAAGGTATACTCTTGTTGTACTGTACAGTTGAATAATCTTATTGTACAGAAGGTATAATTTTGTTGTACGGTACAATTGGAATAATCTTGTTTTACTGCACAGTTGTACAAATGAAACAATATTGTTGTACCGTAGTTAAACCATCCTGACTCTGGTCTGCGTCCTGATACTCTCATATGCTTCTTCCTACAGCAATTAGTTCAGGTTAGCTATATAATCTATAATCGTATTTATGATACCTGTTTATAATAATGATAATACTTGTTGATAATAAATAATAATAATGATAGTTGTTGATGATAATAGCAATATTTGATATTGATAGTTGACTTGTTGATAATAATATAAATATTTGATAATAATGGTATTAGTTTTTGATATTAATGATAATAATTTTTGATTTTAATGATAATAGTTGTTTATAATAATGATAATAGTTGTTCAATTGAAACCGGTTTTTTGCGGATTTGAGACGCGGCTCCCTTCATTAAATTCGGACTCAGATGCTTAAAGTGGCTGTTATCCTCCATTAGAAGGAAGTATTCACAACGGTACTCTTGAAACCTTTATATGATCAATCATGAGGAAGATACCGTCGTTTGAGGGTATTGTTGTGAATCGGACATGACATTATACCAAGAGTCACCTTGAATTACGACTGCAGTCCCTTTAATTGAAAGTTTATTTAGGTTTCCAACAAGTGGATTGAGTTGGATAAAGGAATAGTGGAGGAACCTGAAGGTGAAAATAAAATAAAAATTTTGTTCCTCAAAAAGAAATCATCCAAACTATGTGATTAAACATTTATTTTCGAGAGAGTAAGAATGATGTCTTAAACGTCTTATAAATGATACAATTTTGAATTTTGTGAAACACATCCCATCTTTGTTATACCTCTTTAAAGCCAAAAACTTTGAATGAGACTGTTTTTGTAATTTCAAGTAACCGTTTATATAATTTGATGGTATGTTCAATTCACAATATTGTCCTCATTTATCTGATTCATGACATCTGACCATTTCCTCCATTGTTTCTCAAACAGCAATGAGCATTGAGCAAGTCAATTTTACAGAGACATCACAATTGAAAGAAAAAATTAAAACTCTTAATCGTCCAATATCAGACAAAGCTTTGAAGGATACGCCTCAATCTACAAATTGAGTCACTTGGAACTACGGTTACAGTTCCTTAACCTAAGTGAAAACAACACCATATTCTATCTGAAGGTGGAAGAGTTGAGAGTATGGTAGAGGGTGTATTTCTGCAGTCTGGAGTCACCAACTCAATACTCAATACAATGGAACTATTGAACCTGGGATCAAGTTCAGATCATCTTCAAGTGTTGGAGGCTCTCAATCTAACTTACAGGAATATTGATACTAATAGTTTTATTTATAAGTCGGGAAATCGTTGGTTTATAGTATTTGATTTTCACGAGAAATACACTTTACATTACAAGCTATTAGGCCTTAGCCCTTGCTTGTTTTACTTATGTCACTTCCAGATTTGAATGTGAATGTAGGGCCTCCCCGTATTGTTGATATCATTTGATTCCTACAAAAATGCAGATTAAAATGTTAGATTCTTAGAAAAATTACTATATTTCTTTTCCTCATATATTTACTCACCTTTTTATTGTTTTGTGCAAGTTTTCTTTTTCTCTTTTGTCTTTTGTCCAGCACGCGAAACCGTTGCTTCCTGTTTTCGTTTATCGTTAATTATTCGTTACGATGCACACCACACCGTTATTATTTGTTACTGTGCACACCACAGCGTTATTATTCGTTACAGTGCACACCACGCCATTATTATTCGTTACATTGCACACCACAGCGTTATTATTCGTTACAGTGCACATCACACCGTTATTATTTGTTACAGAGCACACCACACCTTTATTATTCGTTACAGTGCACACCACACCGTTATTATTCGTTACTGTGCACACCACAGTGTTATTATTCGTTACAGTGCACACCACACCGTTATTATTCGTTACAGTGCACACCACACCGTTATTATTCGTTACAGTGCACACCACAGCAGTATTATTCGTTACAGTGCACACCACAGCATTGTTATTCGTTACGTTGCACACCACAGCGTTATTATTTGTTACAGTGCACATCACACCGTTATTATTCGTTACAGTGCACACCACACCGTTATTATTTGTTACAGTGCACACCACAGCCTTATTATTCGTTACAGTGCACACCACAGCGTTATTATTCGTTACAGTGCACACCACACCGTTATTATTCGTTACAGTGCACACCACACCGTTATTACTCGTTACAGTGCACACCACAGCGTTATTACTCGTTACAGTGCACATCACACTGTTATTATTCGTTACAGTGCACACCACAGCGTTATTACTCGTTACAGTGCACACCACACTGTTATTATTCGTTACAGTGCACACCACAGCGTTATTATGTGATTTATCAAATCTGAAAACTTGTCAATATTATATTATTTTGCAAATTCATCAATAACATGAACTAAAACAATGTAACCTTGTCCGTCTTCACTCTTCATTTTTCATTGCAGAACAGACACATCATTATAGCCTTTTTCCTTTTCATAAAATAAACTCTAGCAGACGTAATTATATAATGACTTTTAAAATCAGATTTTACGTTGCTATTGCTTTTAACAAATAGTATCTTTATAGGGACACCCTGTATACTGGAAAATATCTTTATCTTGAATATTTTGATGTAGCAAAAAAAAACTACAATCTATTTTAGTTTTTTTTTTGTACTAAGTGGGCTGTTAATTCAATCTACTGTCCTGTTCTTCTTTTAGAATTCTCTATTTGTATTGTATCCATGTTCTTCTAATTAAACAGATCTCCTACCAATTTCCTCACAGGAACTTATCCAATCTTCTCCTCATAGTAAGCTTAGATAGCTTCCAACTTAATTCCGATTCTACTCACAGCTTTATTCTCACTCTACTTATAGCTTAATTCCCAATCTTCTTCTAGTTTTATTCCCTTTCTACTTCTAGTTTCATTCCCATTCTACTTCTAGTTTTATTCCCATTCTACTTCTTGTTCTTCTAGCTTCATTCCTTTTTTTTCTAGCTTTATTCCCATTCTAGTTCTACCTTCATTCCCATTTTACTTTTACCTTCATTCCCATTTTACTTCTAGCTTTATTATCATTGTACTCCTAGCTCCATTCCCATTTTACTTCTTACTTCATTCCGATTCTACTCCAGCTTCATTCCCTTTTTATTTCTAGCTGTATTCCCATTCTAGTTCTAGCTTCATTCCCATTTTACTTCTACCTTCATTCCCATTTTACTTCTAGCTTTATTCTCATTCTACTTCTAGCTTTCTTTCCCATTCTACTTCAAGCTTTATTCCCATTCTTCTTCTAGTTTCATTCCCATTTTTCTTCTAGCTTTATTCCCATTCTAGTTCTACCTTCATTCCCATTTTACTTCTACCTTCATTCCCATTTTACTTCTAGCTTTATTATCATTGTACTCCTAGCTTCATTCCCATTTTACTTCTAGCTTCATTCCGATTCTACTCCAGCTTCATTCCCTTTTTATTTCTCGCTTTATTTCCATTCTAGTTCTAGCTTCATTCCCATTCTTCTTCTAGCTTCATTCCCATTCTGGTTTTAGCTTCATTGCCTTCTACCTCTAGCTTGATTTCCATTCTACTTTTAACTTTATTCCCATTCTAGTTTTAGTTGCATTTCAATTCTACTTCTAAATTAATTCCTATTCTACTTACAGCTTTATTCTCATTCTAGCTTTAGCTTTATTCCCAATCTACTTCTAGTTTCATTCCCATTCTATTTCTAGCTTCACTCCTATTCTTGTTCTAGTTGCATTCCCATTCTACTTATAGCTTTATTCTCATTCCAGCTCTAGCTTCATTCCCATTCTATTTCTAGCTTTACTCCTATTTTACTTCTAGCTTCATATTTTACTTCTAGCTTAATTCCGATTTCAATTCTAGGTTCATTTTATTTTTAGTTTTATTTCTCTTTTGTTAGTCTACGCGTTGTGGTGTTTAAACATACAGTATCAGATATCAATCTGTTTCCCAGTGGTTTGAGGGACCTGGAGACAAGTTTTACTTGTATAATCCTTCCAGAAGGGATTAAAAAGAATCTTCAAGGAGAACCATCCGTCCTAGAGGAATACATTCATCTAGATCAGGGTCACAATTGACAAACGAGTGACCAAAATATCTATTAGAAAGTGTCCGAATGGATGGAGCTGTCCTAGTTTAAGTGGAGACTTGATGGTGAATAAAAGCCTAAAGTTGGATTGTAAAACCATGCCGGGGTAAATATATTTAGTATTTTCTGGACGTGATTTAGGGGGTTGGAATAAACGTTTCTCTTTCATCTCTTTGCATCCAGAATTTATTTCATGTTGCAATCTCTTGAATTGAATTTTTTTATTTTTTTTTTGGTTAAATATGTGTAATACCCCTGGTTAAAGTTTGGCGACAGTTTACCTTTTATATGAAAATTTAGAAGAATTTGTGGATTTTATGGGGAGGCGGGGTTTTTGAAGAAAAAAAACGTGGTCCAACCCTTTCCCCCTCCGTTTCCCACACTTAGCCCTATCCCCTCCTCGAAAACTGTCGAATTAGATGAATGAATTGATGTGGATTAGGTTTGCAAGAATATTCTGAACATTATCTCAACCAGTGGTGTACCCTTAGAGGAGATTAAACATGAACTCAGGTAGCTGCATTATTCATATAGGGTACACAGTACACACGACACAGTATTTATACAGTACACACTGACACAGTATGTATTCAGTACATAGTACACAGCACATAGATCACAGTACACAGTTCACAGAACACAGTATGTATACAGTACATACTGACACAGTATGTATACCGTACACACTGAAACAGTATGTACACAGTACATAGTACTCAGCACACAGGTCACAGTACACACTTACACAGTTTGTATATTTTGGCTATTTTGTGAATTAATCTCTAGACCCCAGCTAGGGGCATATTAAAATTATCTGCGAGTCAATAGATTGACTGAGTAACTTTTTATATCACTATTTTTACTCGAACAATATCTCCAGCATATCGTTGGTAAATGTTTTTAAACGTTTTAGGATTTCTACCGTTTTTAACTCCTCCTGGCAAACTCTTCCATAAATTCACTACTATCTGACTAAAAAAATGGCTCCCAATTCCAGTCTAGATCGCGAGAGCATCAGATTTAGTGGATCTGCAGTTAGACGAGTTATTCTATGTTCACCTAATCCGACAATATTAAACCATGTATTACTCTTTACATCATCCAAACCACGGATACGGGATAATCTGAAATGTTTGTAGCATGTCTGTTCTCCAGGGAGTCAAGTCTCAGTTCAAGTTTATCTTCATAATTTCTACCTGACAGTCCAGATATCATATTAATGGTTACGTTGCACCCGTTCTAGCATATCTTTGTCTACAGCTGTCGAGGGACACCACGCTGAGACAGAAAACTCCAAATGGCATCTTACAGATTGTTAATACAAGTTAAGGAAAACATGTCGATCTCTAAAATGTTATTCTTTCACTCCAATATCCTTCTCTACTTTGACCTCAGATAACTTAATTCCGTTCATAAAGTATTCATATTTGGGATTATTATGTCCAACATGAAGAATCTTGCATTTAGCAACATTAAATGACATTCCCCATATTTCTGCCCATTCACACAGCATGTTAAGACAATCCTGTAATTTATCACGATAAAATACACTATGCAAGTTTGTTGTCATCTGCAAATTTTTTCATTATCGTAATAGATTTGGTTAAGGTGTCTATATCATTGATAAATATTGCAACAGCTAATGATACGAGTACAGATCCTTGGGGTACACCTGAGAGTACAGGTTACCTGGTGGATTGTTCTTCATTGATGATCACTCTTTACCCTCTTCCAGTCAACCAGTTGTTAATCCAAGAAACAACATTCCCATTTATACTATGAGATTGTAACTTTTGGATCAGTTGGTGTTTTGGCACCTTATCAAATTCTTTTGAGAAGTCTAAATAAATTATTTCCTTAGTAATGTTATTATCACTCTCTAGCGTGATTTTGTCAAAGAACTCCAAAAGATTAGTTACACATGATTTATGTTTCATAAGACCATGCTGAGATTTGTTTAATAGACTTGTTTACTAAATGGTCAGCAACTAGATCTTACATGGTATTGAAGTAAGCGAGATAGGACGATAGTTTCCTGGTTCTTTCTTACTTCCCTTTTTAAAGATTGGTGCGATATTTCCATCTCTCCAACTTGTGGCACAATTCCACTTGACATAGATTTGTTAAATATCACAGCCAGTTGTTCAGAGAGTACACTACATATACAGTATACAATACATAGTATACAGTACACATAGTACTCAGTATGTATACAGTACACAGCACAAATTACACATTATGCATACAGTACACAGTACAAAGTATGTATGCCGTATATAGTACTCAGTTCTTAGTACACTGAACTCGGTGTGTACAATAAACAAAATGATAATAATAATAATAATTATATTACAGTACATAGTACACAGTATGTATACAGTACAAGTACACAGTATGTACACAGTACACAGTATGTTTAAGGAATTTAGTTCACAGTTCGAGCTACACAAAACAAAGTACAGTATTCACCGTACACTGTGATCAGTGCACCGTACATAGTACATAGTAAACATCACACCTTTCACAGTACATATTGCACATATTTCTTTCCGTTAGGGGCTTTCACACCTTTCACCTTACTAAGTACTCAATAAACCTTTCAAAAATATTCATTTAAAATTTAATCATTTTTAGATTGCATACAAGATGCATGATGCTTGGCATGGAATCCCCTCACACTGCTACGGTTCAACTAGTTCATGAGATTAGAAAGAGCTACACTAGGCTGCTCTCAGCTGCAGTAACGGCTGACAACATGTCAACTGGACAGATGCTGTTGTGTGCCATCAACACGCTGTTTGACAAGGTGGACTACGCCATGGTAAAGCTAAGGGAGAGGGTTATATCCTGCTCCTCTACTCCAGAATACAGTAACTTTAATACCATCCTTGCTGCTCAGGAGATCAGTACTGCTGCCTTCAACACTACTCCTGGTGTCTGGGAATCCATGGCTCTGAACCTTTTCATCTCGAAGTTGGAATTAATGGAGACATTTTTCAATCTTAGTCTATCCTTTTCCTCCATATTTAACCTGAATAGTATAGGAAGCCTACTCCCTCTTGGGCAAGCTCTTCTCAAACCTGTTAAAAAGTTCATTCTGGATTTCGTCAAGGGCTTCTTGGTGGGCACTGGACCTCGGCATCTTACTTGTGCAATTGCGCATTTTGCACAACACAGTTCGGCAAGTGCTACAACCAAGTTTCTTAGTTCAAGCGCTGGTAAACTTGACGTCGGTGATCTAGCCCAGGCGGTCTACGATGAAAAACTTGGTAATGGTTACCTCAACCAGGCCCGGATTGCTAAGATGACTGTGATGAGTAAAAGCATGATGAATGCTATTCAACGATGGGAAATGATTCAGCAGCTTGAGACAGCTGTCGAGCGAATGAATGCTCAGCAAAAGCTGAATTGTCTACTTCATGCTTCACTTCAATGGTATTTCCAGGTTTGTAAATTATGATAATTGTTTCCATAAACATGATTATTAATCAGGTTATATCAGGAGTTGCTGTCGGTCAATGTTAAAGCTGCTGAACCCTCCAGGGTCAAGTTTCTACCTGGAATAACTGGAAGAACAGCCAGAGTGTTAAAGTACCAAGCCGAGCTACAGGTAAACATACCTACACTCGTGGCAACAGTAGAGAAGAAGTTCAACTATCCGTACCTAGTCTAACTACTTCTCGTTTTTTTTTTTAATCTGACTTGTGAACCAAATTACCACATTTTGTGATGGTTAAGCAAAAAGCAATTATGAAATTGTTATTTTTCTTTCTTGCTTAATGAAAAAAATAAACATTTTTTAAGGAGCTAAGTGAAACCTTTGTTGATCTGAAAGGAGGTGTAGATCAACGGTTGAAGTGGGCGGTTGGAGCTAATCCTCAACTTCAAGAAGTTGTTGAACAGTTTAGTTCTCAACACTCGGCACAAGTAGAAAATATTCGGCTAGCAGGGATACCATCATTCAAACTCGACTTTTTTATTTATTTGAAAAATTAGCAATTTTAATATTATGATATTCATTTGAAGGAAATGAGCTTTGAGATAATAAAGGTGTTTATCCAAGAACGGGATGTCCAACGGCTCATCTCAAACTGTCAGAGAGAGATCGTCTTTTTAAATGATTTTTGACTTTGTATGGTAAGCGTAGAACGTTTCGCCTTGAGTTTAAATCTTCAGCAGACCTAATTTTATATTGAATTTGTAAAATTGGTAATAAAATTACTGATCCTTCACAACTTAGATTTTTAAGTAATTATTCATTGGCACACCCTGTGCAAAAGTTCAAAATTTTTGCGCATATTCTGAATGGTTGATTCCCGTACAGGACTGCTTGTCAAGGGCGTAACAGGAATTGTGCATGCTGCAGTGCAATACGAGCTTCTAAGAATTAAAACTCCAGAAGCGCAGGTAGGAGGGAGTTTCCAATTTTGTCCAGATCAATTTGGATCCGTCAAGGCTTTACGGAGCCAGGACTGGTGAACCATAAAAAACTTTTCTTTATGTTTTTTTAAAATAAGTCTATCTCCTAGCTAGATGCTAAACAACAGAGCTAGGTGTGACATGTTAAAAAAAGTTTATTGGAGGATCATTCCAGATAAACTTCATATGGTTCTGTTCTGTTGGGCCTTTATGGCTCCAAATTGATCCAAAAAATGAAAACCCTAGAAGTAGTTAATTAAGATGATATGGTATTTTACCACAATTTAATTGAATGATTGGTTGTCTTATGATGATGATAATAATAATAATAACAAAAGCAATAACAATAACAATAACAATAACAATATTACAAAAACAATATTACAATTACAATAACACAATATATCACAATATAACACAATATAACACATTATAAAACAATATAACACAATATAAAACAATATAACACAATATAACACAAAATAACAAAAAAAACACAAAATAACGCTAACAATAACAATATTACAATATTACATTTTTTTTAAATAGTACCAATGATATTTTAGGCGAGTGATCACCAATTTTTGAAAATTCTGTCCATGGCGCGAGAAAGCGCAGGACTGAACGCGCTTCAGAGAAGCTCTGGGCTTAGCGAGGTAATGTACTGCATGATGAACTACAGGACTACCCACTAAGAATGAGATTGTAAAGACGACCTGAAACTCTTTAAATATGATGATCTAAAAATTGAATTTGGTTTTGTGCCTTAATGATCGTTTTTAACGGATAAACTGACTAATTTAACTAATAAAAAGACGACATTAGAACTTCAGGTAACTGTGAAAGTAAAAAAAGGTTTAAATACATTTAATACAGTCGTCTATGAAGTCGCATGTTTTGTGGGTTACCCTGTATGAGACTTCAGAAAAGTATGTACGAATTTTTTTCTGTTTCTTACAAGTACATTCAATGGTCCCTTGCAATTTTACATTCTTTACCAAATCAGTAAACTCTATTTAATGACTAGTTTCACGGCAGTATCTTAAAATATACTAAGGTATTTGTCTTGCCATATATAAAATGTTAAAGGTAGACATTAAAGTTTTATGCTTTGTGGGTATATACATATAAAATGGGTCAGCCATCAAGGGATTTCAAAAGGGAATTAACTTACTCCGTATATCTGTTAAGATTAAGATCAATGCTTAATCCCAAGATTAACAATACAAAAGTTCTGATTTCAGGATGAGATGAGTTTGCTGGACATGAACCCGCCGCTGGAGGGAGTTGACAAGTTTTGGATCAAACAGACAGAGGAGATCATCGCTAAAACTGTCAGGTGGATCATTATCATTATCATTGTCATTGTCATTGTCATTGTCATTGTCATTGTCATTGTCTATATCATCCGATGTTTAAGAGGTAATTTTTGTTTACATTTAGGAGTATTCAAGACCAAGTGACGAACACAAACAAACAATGTAATGTACTGCAGAAAAGGCTGTCAGAATCAGCTTTAGCAATAAAGGTAGAATTTTTAAAATTATTTTAGATTTGTATATTTTTGATTAACGCTGTTTCCAACATATTTATCATTTATTTAGATTGAATTCCACTTGAATAAAAATTTAATGGTTGCATTGCAAGTAAACACTAATAAATTGAGATTTATACTAATTACTAATCTATTACTAGGATCTACTAACAGTGCATCACAAGCTGATGGCTGATGTAGCAGTGCTACTAAGAACAATACTGAAGATTGAAAACCTTGAGTTTCCGGGAATATCTGTTTATCTTTCCAGGTTAATAGTTGACTTGTAAACAAATCAGGTTGTCAGGACGCTTCGCGCCCGTCTTGTCATTAAACGCCTCTTTGCATCCACAGCATATTAATATGCGATCGGTTCAGCCGTTCTGACGTTTATAGGATTAAAACAAGCAGACATGCAAGCCGAAATGTTTATATAGACGAGGGGGGAAGACACAGTACAGAGATTAGAATAGAAAGGAAACTAAACAATCCCTCGATATGGATTTTGTTCGTCCCTTTAAGTCTGAAAAGAAGATCAAATACCAAAGTGTACAATTCATGTAAATGTTCACAAATTATATATAATAATAATCACACCCCTGGATATATCTGTTACAATTTCTTTTTTTTTGTTGTTAAATAACGTTTTTATTAACTATAGGTGAATTAAAATCATTATTTTATTAAACATCAAAACGTAAAAATCGTCGTTTATTAAGTAAATACGTGCAGAATTGTTATTCTTCTTTGCTTTAGACTCTCTTGTATACTGCAATTAATATCTAATTTTAAATTAATTTCCTAATTTAAATTAATTTTTCTATTTTGAATTAATTTTCCTATTTTAAATAATTAAGCAAAAAAACGAGAGAGAATTTGGGTTAACATATAACTTTGAACCCCCATAGTTATTTATAAAATTTTAGCTTTAGTAAACCGATTTTCAGATTCATGCATAGTCCGATATTATTCCGTTAATAAGGGTATAAAGGGGGGCAGGGTATGTAACAATTTTTCACTCTTCCCCCTTTCTTGTCAGGACTTTAGTAAATGGTGATATTTCCCTTATTGTTACTCAGATATCGAGCTAAGTTTAACCAGGGAAGGAAAGAATTGCAGATTTGAAAATATCAAAATATTTTTTTTTTCAAAATCAAACAAAACAATAAAAGATCTGCAAAAGATGCTTAACTTCCTTGCAAGATTTATGCAATATGCTTACTTTGTCGAAGGCAATTTAGAAGATATTTTGCCTGCAGTTTTGCAATATTTTTTCTTTCCCTTACAAGCTATTGCAAAGCTTTGCATTAAAACAAAAACTGCCTTTTTAACTGGAAATATTATGAGTCATACATCTTAAATAGATATTTTGTTTAGATTTGAGTTTAAGACTAGAAAACAAAAAAAATTTAACGTTAAAATTTTTTTCTTGCACAAAAAGCCAGAAATTACTTTTTCTTCAAGGAAAATGACATCAAAAAGAAAATCAAAAAGAAAAAGCACTTCAGGTTAAAAGCTTGGCACTCAAAATAAAATCCTCAGGCATACTGTTTTAATGTTATTTTTTATCCATGATCTATGTATAATGTGTAATAAGTCATAAATATTGACATTTTCTAAGGTTTTCTGGTCCAAAAAAATGCCCCCCCCCACACATTAAAAAAAATCCAAGCTACTTGCCTAAAGAAAAGTATTATGTTTATATAGTTAAACAATTTTTTTATTAATTAGATGTTCCACAGGGAAAGGATTTTAATCCATTCTTAAATAGAATTTAAGAATCAACATAAATAAATAAATACACTGGTCAACCATCGTCCTATAGGGTTCAGGCTTAAAGGGAGTGACCGGCAATTTATGGTAGTTGAACTAAGATTGCAGTTTTATTGAGAAATTTTTTATGATTCATTTCAGATCCATCAGACTTTTTTACGGTGTATTTTGATATTTTGATTTCTTGAGTATTTCAAGCATATTGGTTTTATTGTTTAATTACCTCAAATTAAGAAATATGTTTTTTTACTGAATAAAATAATCAAATTAATTTTTATGAAATGCATGCCAGGTGGTCAGAGAATTGATTTAGAGAAAATCAAATAATTTTCAAGAAAAGTTTTTTCTATAAAGGATGTTCTAAGGCCCAAAAGGTTGTATAGCACAAATATGTGAAGTACACCTGCAGTATGGAAACAGTGCAACAAAATGGCCGTTTTACACTTTTTTCGAGTTAATTCCACTCTATATTAATCTATTCTTTTTTTCAGGTACAAAGAGTTTACTGAAGACATGAACAAGCTTATGAGATCACTTTTATCCGATAATGTGACGCAGGAGCTGGGAGACCTGTACGCGGGGGCTTTTGACAGGTTTGTTTTCGATTATCGAGTGCGTCATTTTTTAACAGGTATGATTCAGGGGCGTTCACAGGAACTTGAACAGGGGGGCTTCATTTTTTTTTCAATTGGGGTAGGGGATCAGTCCCTGCTGTGACCTTGAAACAAAAAATTTACTGATCCAGAGGGGACTCAGCCTCCATAGCCCCCCTTGTGTACGCCTTTGATTTAATTTTTAAATTCTTTCACACACACAAAAAAACAGTTTTAATAATTATACTTGGGCCTTTGCAGATAACTGTTCTTATTTTCATTCTTATTCTTACTCATATTCTTATTCTAGGTCTTAGTCTTAGTCTTTTTCTTAGTCTTTTTCATAGTCTTTNTTATTATTATTCTTATTATTATTCTTATTATTTTTATTATTATTTTTATTATTATTCTTATTATTATTCTTAATATATTCTTATTCTGAAGGGTGAAGAGTAGGTTAAATGATGTTTACAACGATCTTGTAAATATTGCTGGGATGGCCAGGGATGAAAACCTTGTACAGGTATATAACCTATATAATAAACCTCTTCGCTCATATAAATATATTTGTACGTGTATATTTAATATATCACTATCAGCTATAGCTGGCCAAACGGCAAAACCGAATGGGCTGACATTTTTTGAGAGAACCCTTTAGCACCCCGGTGGTAAAATAGGTCAAAAAATATCGACATTTTATTTTTCAAACCCTGAGCGTTTTCTAAATAAAAAAAATCCACGGGCCACGCCGGGCACTTCAGCTGGTATTGTATATAGTATTGATATTTTATTTCCTTTTGGCCAACATTGCCGACCTATGATTCCCCCTGCACAGTGAGGTTTAGTTACTTAACGTCCCTTGGGACAATTATGTATTCGGGACATTAAACATTTTACTTAACCACGGGTTCCCTCAACAAATTTTGCCATTGGTCTTGGGACTGTTTTATATTTGTTTATATTTTGTGATGGGTTTATCTAATCCTCCTGTCCTTCCTTAATCTAATATATCTTATTTGTAAGTGTATTGGGGATTTGTGTCCTTAATATAAAATTGACAGCCCAGATCAGAAGATAGAAGAAAAACATAGAAATACAATTTTCCTCACTATATATCCATGTAGGAAGGAATATTTAAACCTTTTATAATAAAAATATGTTTATAATGTCCACAATTCCTATTCTTTGTTTTCTGATTCATTTTTTTATTTTCATCAAACTTCCGCTTTTCTCAAACGAGATGCATTTAAAAATGTTAGCTTATGTCAAGTTGTCTTTTTTTCGTCCCTACACCCCCCTTAGAAAATTCCATCGAAAAATAATGTTTTATATCACTTTGGAAAACTCAAATACTGGTGTAAACGAACAAATTATTTAGAAAATATATTCCTGGAAGTTTATCAGCTAATTAGATTGCTACCAGGCAAAAAGAATGTTGGTGAGGTAAAACCTGTCATTCACATTTTGACAGTTCTACCTCTGGGATAACTACCACATTCCATTCATTAAATGTAATGTTTATTAAACCCATGTTGTTAAACACCAAGAGATGATTAGTTATGTTGACTCAGCTCTCTATTCTGAGTTTACTGTCTTCTAAAGGCAGGATATTATCCATCAAGTTAACACTAAGCTCTTGGCATCATCAAACTAGTAGATCAAAATCAATCCTTTTCTAACAACGTCTTGAATGAAGAAGGGGGGGTACATACTTGTCCCCCCCCCCCTCCGTCCAGGGGTTTGTCTTTCCATCACGGATAAAGTAAGCACTTGGCATCATCTTTATATTAGATATTATGCATAAATATATTTATTTTACATAAAATAAAATATCTTAGATTAATATTTTTCCAAATTTATCCAAAGATAAACATTTTATCCATTTCGTTTTTTCTATTTGCTATGAAATGAACATAGCAATTTTTATTGTTAACTGTATACTCCGGCAATCACTCTGTGAGAATATTTTTTTACTTAAAGGGACTGTAATCGTAATTTCAAGAGGCCTCCAATTGATAAAGTGGTATGTCCGACGATACACAAGAGCATTGCCTGATCAAATATGGATTAGATATTCATTTTTATTTTTAGCAGTGATTATTTTCATTTGTGGTTTCTCTGCAAAAGTGACTTGCGCTTTTCTGGCTTCAGAAACAACAAGAATTTATTAGACTTTAACACTTGTATAAAGACGATGTTATCTTTTACTTGATTAGATTAAGGTTTCAAGGTTATGGTTGTGAACCGTGCATTGTCCCTTATAAATGCAACTACAGTTCTTTAAATCTTTTATCTGTTCTTTGTTGTTTAGACACAATGTGCTGAACTCTATCTCAAGGGTGTATATTAGTTTTACAGGGTTACGCAGCCCGCAGAAACTTCGAAAAGTTCTCTTAGGCGCGGGGGGGATTATAATTTTCCCCATAAAGATTTTCCCTTTTTCCTTCCCTCTTTCCCCTTGGGGTGAAAAATGTCACATTTTTCCCCCAGAAAGGGTTTGCTTAGTTTCCTGTCTGAGCCAGAACCAGCAGATCAATTCCTTCTTTTTTTCTGCTTTCTTCTCTCTTCCCCCTTTTTTCCCCTTTCCTTCCCCTTTTTCCTTATTTTTCTTCATTTTATTCCCCCAACCCCTTTTAAAAGCTCATATCCCCCCCGGGAAAAATTAAAAATATTTACACCCCTGTTCTATCTAAATGAAGTTCCGATGAGTCCTGAATTTTTCAATTTCAGCTAATCCCAATTCCAAAGATTTTCCAGCAAGTTTTTCCCTGCAAACTTGGTTCTGAATGTAGAATCAGTGAAGCAGAACTTTTTAGTTTAAATGCTGCAGAATTCTGCAAATTTATACAGTAGGACCTTTAAGCCTAAAAACTATGAAATAGGAAGACATCTGTCATAATCAAGTTTAATTTTACATTTTTTGATACCAGAGCATTGAAAATCATTTGCGGGGAGCAGCGGGATTTCAAAAAATATATACTCTGCTAAATACAACGACCACCGAGGGAGGAGTGGGGGAACCCTACCCCCCCCCCCCTACATAGTGTATATCCCTCTGTTGGAGACTCTAAATGGTGTACGCGGAAATATTAATAGTTGAGTGACGTCACACTATGCCTCGGCCTCTGTTGAGGATAAAAGGGAGGGAGGGGAGATGAGGAGTGCAGAGGGGGGGGGGGGGGGTGATTGGATTATTTGTGTTATAGTGCTCAAACTTAAACTGAAACAACATGTTTTTGAATAAAATGTTTCATAAAAGAAAATTGAAGAATCTAAAGTGTTATTTCAAAATACGGTCAACATGTTGCATTGAAAGAAGAAAAAGCTGTTGGTATTTATAATTTTTAATTTTGCTAAATTTAATTTTTTTATTTCAGGAGTTGCTGAAGAACAGAAAGATGAAGGAAGAAGATCCCAAGAAAGATGATCAAGAAGTTGACGATAATTCAGCAGCAAAGAAGGTTGGAACTGGCCTACATTAGACAATTAATTGAGATTACATTTATTAATTTTAAATTATCCAAAACGTAAATTTAAGTGGTAGGTTCGATTCATAACAGATCTAAAAATGTAATCCGAGCTGAAAACTCTTGTATTAGATACCCCCAATCCTGATTTATAAATCTATGTACCCACTGTTGACACTTTTGATTTTATGCTTAATCCTTTTTTTTGGATTTTCCAGCTGGATTGCAACCAATAAGAGTACTATCTTTGATTGCACGTACAATATTTCTCGATTCTGATTGGCTGTTCGAGTTCTGCAATCGACACTCTGATTGGTTGAATTTTATACACTTTACAGGAAACAAACTAAAGAATAAATTAATCTTGAGATTAATAAAAAGAGAAGATCTCGATATCCACTAGTCCTGTCCATAGAGCTAGCTACAGAACAAACTGGGACCGGAAAGGTTGACCCGGCTCGGAAATTCAAATGTACTACAGCTGCCTATGTATTATTAGTCTTATTAACAACTATTGCTTACTCCTAATCCATTATCAGGTGGAAGAACGGAACAAGTTTGCTGTAAATGTTCTGAAGCGTGTCCGCCTCAAGCTGGAAGGAAGAGAACCGGATTCACTTCGCAAGGTAAATTTGTCAATTTTTCCCAAAACCGGTTTAATTAGAAACTATAAAATTAAATAAACAGAGAAATAAATAGGTGGCAGGATATACAGCAGGGTGTCCCACATCTTATTAGATCGTCTATAGCTCTAAATTGAGATTTAAGGG